CATTGTTTCAACCATCTACTGTCATTCTTCAGTGCATCATTTAAATATTTATCTTACAATTTGATTTAGCACATTTTTTTCTCCATTTTATTGTTTATTATTATGCAAAAAAAATTTGCATTATGCTTTACTAAGTTCTTTCTAGAAAGAAGTATATATAACAAAAACTTTCAGTTGCCAGTTGAATGTTATTCTTGACAAAATCTTAAAAATGTTTCTTAATTTTTGTTTAGCTCATTTTGTAATATTGTTTCCTTGATTCTATTTCAGATCTTGCTACTTATGACACAGTCAAACATACAATTTTGTCTAAAACAAATCTGCAAGATAATTATATCACACATACCTTATCTAGGTAAGTTTTTTCTGAGATCAAAATAAAATCTTAAAAATTATTAGAAAAGTCCATGAAGTTGGAAAAATCATGGATTTAAAAAAAAACAACAAAAAAAGCTATATCTTGTAAATTTTCTTACAGCTTAAAAATAATCAAGGTAGTCATATCTTAACCTCAAAAGTTCTTTTATCTGGATTAAAAAGTTCAAAGTTAAGTATACATATGCAGTGTTTAAATCCAATCTATTGTCAGATACAATCTAAGTGCTTAACTCAAAAGATATTGTCAAATTTTGTCAATGTTAGTGTTAAAAATCAAAAGTTTTGTCTTTTTTGTGTGAGTATGCAGGCCAGGATTCTAGGTTCACTCTTCACTTACCAAAAGTTCCTGCATCAAAATGTATATTTTATGAAGAGTAAATTTGTTTTTCAACTTAAGTCACTGTCCCCTCTAAATTGTGCCGATGTGCCAAAAACTCAAACTCAACATATATGGATACATGAATTATAATAAGTTTCTTTCATAAAATATTTGAAATTCCCTTTTGGGGCCTAAGCTCCACATAGTTGGATACATACAGTCCACATATAGTGTGTTACACAATGTAATGTTACATACAATCACTTACATTTCTTATTCCTACTCTCAAAACAACTAAAGTCTCGGCTAGACAAAAAAATAATGTCAATTAGACTACTGCTATTGAAAGTGTTCTTAATTGTTTTCAGTGCTTGCTCAGGAGTGATTGCAGCTCTGATGGGTACGCCAGCTGATGTTGTGAAAACAAGAATCATGAACCAACCAACCAAAGATGGAAAGTAGGTCAATTTGTGTCTATTATTGTCAATGAAATAGCAAGTCAGTTTAAACCTATAACTTCTATTGTGAATAGGAAACAGTATTTACTTTAGACTACTAAAGCAGTATGATGCAATAGAACTTTTAAGAACAAGAACTTAGCAACTATTATTTACCAAAAATCATATGTATTTTTTTGTTTTTGTTTTTTTATTATTGTTTTTTTTTAACTTAAGTGCTGATTCTGAAAGTGGCTTTTTTATTGGTACTATATAAATAAAAAAACTTTCTAAATTCTTTTTGATTTGTTTTACTATTCTTTCTGAACGAGTTAAAACACCACTTTTTAAAACTGGAAATAGTAGTTACTGAGTTAATGCAGATGAATAATATGGATGCTATGTCAAGGTCTGAAAGTGGAACTTAACTTAAATGTTTTTACTTTTAAAACAGATAAAATGGAAATTTTGAGCTAATTATCCTTTTCAGACCTTGCGATCTATATGTTACTACCAGTAGAAAAACTGACCAACCATGGAGAACTCAACAGCTCTAGCTCTAGACAAAATCTGGAAATATATTAAAATCCAAATTAATACATTATTTATATTTTTTACAACATTTATTCATATTTCTACAAAATCATGTATAACAAATTTAAAAACACATAAAATATGGCTTAAGATATCACTAATATCTGATACATCCAGCTCCCGTCGCCTCAGCGTGGCACCTCCGTGGAAACATCCATCCAGGGAAGTTTATAGGCTAAGTATGGGAGCGCCACGGCTCCCAGTAAGTTACCATATATACGCTCTAGTGAGTGTACTTTGCACGTGGTGGGATGTGAAAAAGGCTTGATAACCAGTCTAAACCCACACTGCTTCGTTCCCCAACTGTTGCCATATGGGTGGTGATGGTCCCCTCACTGGTGCTGTGGCACAATATAGACATATGGAGGGCCCCTACATGGGCTTGGCCTCTGGCCTCGCTCGTGTCGTTGGCCAAAGGGACTGTGTCCTATGACATACCGGGTGTGATTACATGATCACCTAGGATAAGGCGGGACTCCAGACAGAAGGATCGGTGAAGAGCCAATTCCTCATCCTCACCACGGATAAAAGCTTTTCCCTGGTCACATGGTTCATAAAAGGGATTCGGAAAATCTATAAGGACATCTGATTCAGGTACATCAATGTTAAGAAACTAAAGCCTTTATTAGCCCCCACTCTTTAAAAACATCTTTCTGGGTCAATCCTTGGAGCATCTTTACAAAGTAAAAAAGTTGAATCAAATAAAGTAAGGGGCACAACCTAATGTTGAAAAAAAGCATGAGGAACAATAAGGCTGTAACTGTATTTTTTTAAATTTTGATTTGTCTTCAGAGCTACCAGGATGTTTTTTAGATCTATTGTTGACTTACATTTTTTTTAACTAACAGTGAAATCACTTCCCAACAAGAAAAGGCCTAGATCTTATACTTACCATTGGAGATTTTCACCTCATTTACTTAAGGTTCTTAGAAAATCTTCTATGATCTTACTGCTATGTTTAAGTTATTTAACCCAAAGATTTATTTATTTTTTTATCAGAGGCCTTCTGTACTCAGGATCTGTAGACTGTTTAGTAAAAACAGTTCGACAAGAAGGATTCTTGGCTATATATAAAGGCCTATTACCAATCTGGGCAAGAATGGTAAAAATATTTTATTATTGAGCATACTTGTTTTGTTTTCTAATCTCAATTTTTTATGTTTATGTCTGTCTAACCTGAAGGCATGGTGGCTATGTTGTAGGACCTGTGGTCCTAGGTTCAAATCCTGATGAAGAGTGAAATTTTAATGTTAGGGCTCCTCTGTGTCCACTCAACTCTAATGGGTACCTGACATTAGTTGGAGAAAAGTAAAGGCGGCTGTTCATTGTGATGGCCACATGACACCTTGTTAACCATGGGCCATAGAAAGAGCTGACCTTTACATTATCTGCCCTATAAATTGCTAGGTCTGAAAGGGGAAACAAACTGTCTAATCTAAATTGTGTAATAGATTTTCTCATCTCCTAGCTGTTTACTAATCAAAAGGTTTTGTCTATAACAATGCAATAATTGTTTAAAGTTCAGCATAGTGTTGATTCACATTGATAAAAATGTAAAAAAAAATTCAAACAAATCATTGCTGCAGTATTGTGAGTAAACATACCAGAAATTATTAGTTCAAGTTCATACAAGTTTTAGTATTGATTCTTGTTCTAGCTCTAGTGCTAATTCTTGTAGACTTAGCAACTAGCATCAGTAAGATTAAATTATAAAGAAAGAAATTTATTGATACCATGTAAAACAAAATACTTGTTCTAAATTTAGATACAATTTTTACTCAAAACCCTTATATCTACCTTTTGATGAAGCAATTTTTGCATCATCATTTTGGATTGAGTTCTGATGACAATTTATAAAACACCAAACTTTTTATAATAAATTTTAAGTCACCTTTTTTTTTTAAAACCATTCTCGCATTGTTAAATTATCTTGAGGTTAAAATAGAACAATGATCCTTTAGCTGACAGATTTGTAAGTTGAAAACCTTTTTTTTTTTCAGGCTCCTTGGTCTCTAGTATTTTGGTTGACTTATGAGGAAATCAGAAAATTGTCAGGAACATCATCATTTTGATGTTTGGTTCTTTTAGATACAAATTACTTTATAACATTTGATAAGATGAATGAAATATATTATTGTTAATACACATACCGGTATGTTCTCTATGAATTCCAAAATTGTTTTCATGTGTAAACATTGATTTGTTGAGATGAAAGCATTTAGCTGTATATGGAAATATTTTTTAGTCTGTGTTTCTCAATCTTTTTAGTTGTGACACTCTCTCAGATCTTATCTAATAAATTATAGACATATTCATGTGTCAATCTAGTCATGCATGTTGAAATCTGCCAAGTTGTTGGTTTTCCTTGATGATTCAGGCAACCCATTCCATGCTTTAATAGCATTAGTGAATAAGAATGTGCCTCTATCTTTGTGTCTTTCAGAGTATTTTATTAGGTTTTGTTTTTGAATTAGTAAATTATGGTTTAGTGTTTTATGTATAATTGCTACTTTACTTTGTAGTGTTCTGTCCTGAAGGGTTTCTTAATTGAGTGATTTTATAAATGGCGTAACTGGAATCAAGTGTGTTATAAATCTCATAGTTCTAGTTTGCATCTGTTCTAGTTTCTTTATGGTCTGCGTGTATAAAATATTATCAAATAAAGAAGAGAGTCGGAAGGGCCAATATTGCAGTATGAGATTCTCTCAAAGCACACGTAGAGCATATTTGAGTAAGGGCTAACTTGTCATAAAATGATTTGTAGCAAGCTTGTTTGGTTCTCAAAACTACAGCATCAGAATGATTGTGTCACTTAGAAAAAAAAAATTAACCTATCAAAATGTCTTTTGAAAGTGAATTTTTTGAGTAGATCTTGTAGCAGTTACTTGTGCAGGCTATAAAAGGCCATACATGTAAGTCGAAAAGACCTCTCTTTATTTATTGTTTTTAAACATTTGGTAACTATATGTTGTTTCACTTGATCAATATTTCAATATTGATCTATTATAGTAATGTAAATACAACAGAATCCCTTTCATCCTTTTAAAAAAAATCTCCACCTGGGCACCCCTTGTCAAAAAGTCCTGGTGCCGATGAGGTTGAGAAATGCTGTTTTTAAGCAAACACATGTTCATGATAATATTGTTCATGAAAATATAATTGTTTTGTAAAATACTTACAGAAGTTGATGATTTTTTAATGTTTACATTGCCATGATTGTTATTGTAAAAGGACTATTATTGTTTAAAAAAAACTAGTACATACAAGATACTGTTTTTTTTTTTTTTTTTTATAAACAAAAATTGTGTATCCCAAAGGTTTTGTTTTTTTTAACTGTAAACATTTCTTGTTACAATGAATTACTTACTACTGTACATTTTTGATCCTTTTTAGAATGTGTTTCTTTTTTTCAAGTCTTATCATTTTTAAGAACCTACTTAAAACCAAAAACCTGACTTTTCTCACTCAACTGTAAAGACTTTTGACCTCAATGTATATCTAACTATGTAGCTATATAGCAATCAATGTAGCTACTTTATCTCAGTATTTTTTATTAAGAACTCTTATTGTGCACAGAAAGTGGCTAGAATAAAATTCTTGTCAAAGATTTATTTCATACAACGTATAGTTTTTCTTTTTCTTTCTTATTTTGTCGGAGGGTTCAGATCAATAATCCTATATCTGAGATTAACTGCGCAGTGGTTCCCAAATCAGGCAGTTCTCCATTTTGTTTTTCATCTATAGCAGGATTTTTGGGCCAGTTTTGTTGGGGCCTCTTAATATAGTATGCAGCTTTGAAGGACATGGTCAGTATTCTCTTCCACAAATGCAAATTTCGCTAGTCCCCACTTTAAACTTCCGAAACATGTTGTCTCATTCTGTCTAGTTTTGTCTGGTTCTGAATCAAAAAATTATGCATTGGTCATGTTGAGATAGCTTATAAAAGTATAGTTTAAAATTTCGATGTGGTCCAATTGTGTGTAATAATGAAGGAATGCAACAACAAAAACGTGCTTATTAAGCTAAACTGCTGTTAAGTGAGGAGTTTATATCCTCTAGACTTGCTCTGCTGTTAGGGACACTTACTACACATCAAGCCCAGTAAAAATTGGGGTGGGTGTTAGTCAAAACATTTGAAAGACTTTGAACACGTTTTGTAAACAAGTCAGCAGGAAATAAATATTCCTAAGAAAGTTTGAGGGAAGGGTTAAAAATAATGTAATCACCTAGAAAAGTCTTTTGGAGTGACTTTATAAGGAAAATGAGGCATGAAATCATAGGTAATTGGTCAGTAGTCATTGCCCATTTGTTCACAGTTCATTGTTTATGGTTGATAGCTTTTTGTTGGTCTTGCTTGGTACTTGAACCATTTAGATAAGTGATTTTTGTTTAATGTAAATTTGTGTTCATTGATTTTTTCAGTAATTGATTTTGAAGATATTAAATTCTGATTGAATTTCAACACTGCATTTCTCTTGTGTGACACTAAGAATGTGGAAGACAAGTATAATTTCAATAATAAATATTGCAACTCTCAAAAAACATTCAAATAAAACATGCAACACTTGCAAGCTTCCTTAGGGAGAGACAAATTATTAAAATAATTCATTAAACTAAAATAGTAAAATTTGTCAAAGTTTGAAAAAAGATGAGGGTAATTTATAAAATATGTGCTACAATGAATATTCATTGCAATGTCTGCCTTAATGAATGGATAAGTCATAAGTCTGTTATTATGATGGTGTTTCATTTTGCTGACATAATCTGATGTCCTTCAGAAGCTTGGGTTAATAAATATTGTCTGATTCTAGATAAAAAAAAACGATTCATAGCCTAAAATTGCCTAGTCCCTAATGCTATCCAGAACAGAATCTTAAAACCCACATAGAGTTTGAGTTTTTGGCACATCGGCACAATTTAGGCCATGTCGTGCCTGTAATCCTCTTCATAGTAGTACAGTTTCGGTTAACTTCTTTGAGAGAGCCATGAAAAACTTATGCTTCATGATATTGTAGTTTATCCCAAAATCTGTTAGCCATGAAACGGGCAAGTTGCCATTCCATCCTACAATCTAGTATGATAAAAAGATTGATTCTTGAAAATATATCTAGTGTAGATCTACGTCTGACTGCTGAACTCGAACTACTTCAGTAACACCGGCGAAAGGCCGAAACAATCAAATTATGTAGTCGACGCTGATGTTCTACAAATATATTTAATAATCAAGAAGGAATCGTCCGATGTCAGCTATGTCCGTTACTCCGTATATCTATTCAACTGCTCTACAAGAAGCGTCTTCTTTTTAGCGTCACTTAGAGCGTTCTTCTTTTTTAACCAACTTTACGTCATCGTCGCTAAGTAAAACTTTACCCTATTCCCGAAACAAATAACTACGGTAATTCCTAATCATGTTATAACACACAAATGCTGTAAGTACTTTTAATAGCTAGATCTAATCCCACTTGGACACAATGGTAAATAGTCAATAACATTTTTTTTTTTACATCTGTTGAATATAAGCCTAGATCCAGAAGACTCAAAACTGGAATGCATTTTTATAATCATAATCCCAAACCCTTCCAAAAGGAACCAATATACACTTTTAGATTTAGTCATTGGCTGACATTGGGGCACTGAGTTTATTAAGTTTTCCAATTTTAAAATGCTGGGAATGAAAGAAATGTGTATGTAAGACTTGTAAATGTTGGCAACTTTTAGTTGATGGATCAATGTTTGACTTAGTTATTTGATAGTATGAGTGGATGACTTTCAAAGGGAGCATAGAATTGAACAATGAAGTTTGATCAAAAGAAGGTAAGAAAGGGAGATAAGACATTGCTGGAGGAAGAGATGTCGTGGGATGTTTACTTGTTGGGTTTATTTTGCGTGTCTGCTGAGTTTAAAAGAAAGAATAGAAAGATAAGTATCATGCTTTTTAAATATATATATATTTAGATATATAAAAGTAATTGAATAATTATTGCTCGTTACACTTAGACTTACACGAGTTAGTAGTTATACATTGTATATTATACAGAGATACTATAGCTGTCAAATAAATATATGAATATTATAGCTAAATGTCTAAAATAATTGAATACATTGGGGGGGGGGGGGGGGGGGGGGAGAAAGGTAGGAAAAATACAATTTCATTAAACTATAGAACTAGTGAACCACGTGAGGCAACAGTTTTTTTATTTCCGTAATTTACCACATTCTGGTGGAATCAACTCTGTTATCGTCAGTTAGGAGAGAAAGAGCTAAACAGAACATCTGTGATCTAGATCTATGTTGGGAGATATCTTCATCCCACTCCCTTCTTTCCAGTTCTGTCCTACTCTCATTTTATTGCAGAACTCTGAAGTATGGGCTAACTAGACTGGAGCAAGAAAACTGACGGTCCAGTAATTGTGAATTGACTGCCCTTTAACACGCCTGCACAGCTAAGCAGATTCTAGCGGTTTGTGGCTGTAGCCATGGTATCGGGTGGTATGTCTTGGTTGATCTAAATCCGATGACCCAACATTCTACTGCAACTGCCGGATAATATTTGTCTAGGTGAAGTTTAAAAAAGTAATCCTGTTTACGAAACGAAATATTTAAAATTTTAAAGTAGAAATCATGAAAAGATTGAAGGGGTCTATGAGGGATCTGTATGAGGAGGAGTACCTCCTGTCAACTGGGCAGTCGGGCTCTTGTTCTCCACTTAGAGCCCAGATCTCATCTGTGGCTCCAAGCAGTTGTCAACATGCGGCAACGACCACACCCCTGTAAACCGTAACAGGCTAAACGAGGTGAGGGATAGCCAGAGCTAGTATCTGGTGAAACTATGGTCTCTGTCCACCACCCAGCATGTGAAGTCTAGTTGCGGTTGCATGGCACTCAGATCATAAATAGACTACCAGGGCCATCATCATGCGTCACATTACTCATCTCCCAAATTCCAATAATAGATTCACAAAATTATTTAACATGAAGCTTGTAATTATTAACTGATATATGTTTGCCTCCCCTCGGTACGTGTGTCTCAATAGAAGCATCTCGATAAGGAAATAAAGTAAAAATTTTCATTACTACTTGACGCTCTTTCATTCACCAATCGTCTGTTTAAAGACGTGAGAGCTCGCATAACCAAAGTGTAAGTTACCTTCCTGTTTACACATCTCTTGAGACCCTTTCCCTTAGCGCGTAGTGTCACTCTTGACACTGACATTTACTAGATAAGTTGAAACATATGTGCTTACTGCAAGTAGATCTTGTCAGACTATATACCTCACTATTTCATTTAAATAAAAAAAAAAAAAAATTTAAAGAGTCATTGAAAGTTCGAAGTTGGAAAAAAAAAACTATGTAAGTCACTAGTCACTTTCACATGTCCATTAGTATGTTGGGACACCATACATGATCTGTCGACTTAATGTTTTCTTTCCATCGCTTGATTCCTTTGTCTATCTCTTCTTCGTTGCATTGGTACTATTCCCTGCAGGAAGGTTTTTGCTAGCACCAAAAATCTCGTGTTATGTCCGTATGATCCGAAGTTATTTTACCTTTAAAAAACAGAATGATGCATATCTTTTTTTTTGTGTGCATGTGTGGCTAACTGAATTACATAAGTAAATGTCCACTTTCAGACCTTGCTATCTATAAGGCAGATGATGTAAAGGTCATCTGTTTCTGTAGAAAACGGTTAACGAGGGTGTCATGTGGCCAGCACAACGACCAACCGCCAACATTTTCCCCGACTAATGTCAGGTACCCACTAGAGCTGGGTGGACTCAGAGGCGCCCAAAGACACCGAAATTAAAAATCCCAGTCTTCGCCAGGATCCGCACCCGGGATTCCCGGTTCATAAACCAAGCGTATTACCGCTCAGCCACCGCGCCTCCACTGAGTTACATATTCCTGTAAAGATAATAAGCCAAATGTTTTAAGGACACTATTAGAACCCATGCAATTGTATGATGTTAGGTGGCATAACAATAATTACACAATAAACTTAAATCACAAAATGGTTACAATGGATATAAAAGTATTTTCCCCCCAAAACTAATATTTTTAAACACAAACACACATGCAGCTCTGTCGTCCTTAAAAATTTCTCTAAATAATTGCTATCATTGTTTTGTATGAAACAAACAATATATTCATGGCAGAACAATTAAACGCCGTGAGTGTTAGTAGGATTAAAAAAAAATGTCTGTTTAACACGAACGCTGTCAAACATTGGAGACAGAGTATTTTCCAAATGTCACCAGACGGAAGAGTTCTTGCGTTAACATTGAACTTGAGAGGTACATGAAATGATGTGATGGTATCGCTGTCTGAAATCAAGATAAGAAAGAATGAAACCTTCTTAGCCTAAGTATACAATGAGTCAATTGACTCCGTTCAGGGAAACGCTGGGACTCCTTACTTCAGTCGTAACTTCTTTTTGACATCTTTCATTCTTTTTGTTACAGAAATGTTACAGTGTTTCTTGCTTTTTGTTACAAATGTTACAATTTTTCATGTTATCTGTTACAAATATGCTACGATGCTCTTTGTTGCACAGATGTTATAATGTTTCATGTTCTTTGTTGCATAGATGTTACGATGTTTCATGTTCTTTGTTGCATAGATGGTACAATGTTTCATGCTCTATGTTCTCTAAGTTACAAACATGTCATGTCATGACATGTCTGAGAAAAATACTGAATTTCAAATGGCAAGACAAAATACCAGATACTGAAGTCCTTCGAAGAGCGGGTCTGCAAAGCATCAACACAATCTTGATGCAGTCTCAGTTGCGATGGGCAGGACACGTCTGCAGAATGGAAGACCACCGCATCTTTAAACGACTCTTGTATGGCCAACTAAGCGAAGGAAAGCGCTTCAGGGACACCCTCAAAGCTTCTCTGAAGGCGTTCAGCATAGGCCCAGGCAACCGGGAGACAGAGGCACATGACAGAGCATCATGGCGTCGCACTGTGAAAACTGGCGCACAGGTTCCTGAGGAAAAGAGAACAACGCTGGCAGAAGAAAAAAGCCAGAGAAGAAAAGCAAGGACCATGACACTAGCTCCAGCTGGAATAACTTGCCCAGTGTGCGGCCGAACATTCCGGGCTCACATAGGTCTAACCAGCCACATGAGGAGGCATAAAACCCCAGTGCAAAGCCCTCAGCCCCCTGGGTGACAAAGTGGTCATCATCGAACTACGATGGACGAACTATGTGTTACAAAGATGTTACGACGTTTCACGGTCTTAATTACAAGGATATTACGATATTTCATGCTCTATGTTACAACACGTTTCGATGTTTCATGATCTTTAGAACAGAGATATTACATTATATTCCTTATTCTAGCGATATGACACTTTATCACATCTCTTGTTACAGAGAACTTAAAATATTGTTCACATTGTTAAATCGTTATTCTATTGACAAGGTTCTTTAAAATGAAGATAACCACTTTGCGCACAC